TTTTTKSGKTTTGTTTTTAGTRAAAGRRAAAATTTAGTRGGCAAAGGGAGTTCTAGTCGCATTTTTTACACTTCTTTATCTTATTGGAAAATAGTGATTCCTCTCTTGAAATGCCTTGATATCTCAGTTGCCACGATCCCTTTGAAAGCTGCTTTTTGATTGATATTATAGTACAGAACCTTCATTGTTATAGGTTCGAGGTTTTGCTTTATAGTACAGAACCTTCATTGTTATAGTTTAGGTTTTGCTTTATAGTAAAGAACCTTCATTGTTAAAGGTTCAGGTTTTGCTTTATTTTTTTGATATTTTCTAAACCAATCACGAGATTTGCTGACGGTTCGTGGCGCTTAGTGCCATGTCTGAATGTGAATGTGTATATAAACCCTTCTTTTCATAACAATGGTTTCCAGGAATCYATGACAAAAATCGAAGACCCTATCGACTGGAAAATAGACTTAATGAGTATGCCATGGTATGGTAATGAGGTATGTTGTGCCATCTGTTTTTGTGCCAGTTTTTATGTGTTTTCGATGTTGTAAAAGTCTCACCTTCTCTAGGATGGTCTGAGTGTGTATGTCGTCAAGAACTATAAAACATACAGCTGGGATTGGATAGGACTTTACAGAGTAAGGATATGATATAATACTTTACGATGAATCCCTTGTGAAGACCTGAATAGATAACTAAACACCATTGTTTTTAAATTAGAATAGACTTCTGGACCTTTTACGTCACTACTTGATTTTCAATGCATTGTGGGATCAGTTTCTTGAGAAAACAAAAGAAATCCGCCATGTTGGTCCCAAACATATCCTACAATGCATTGCGTGCACGGAACATGACGTAAAAGCTTCAGAGGTCTATTGGAGGGACCGGACATGACATACTTTAAGAAAGTCATGCTTCCGTTCTAAAAGTATTAGTATGCTCCATAATTCTGTAGAACACAATAGTGTAGCGTCGCTTACGTTTCAAATAGTAATAAAGTGGCTCGCGTGGAACTCTCAGCGATCGGGTATGCTCATTCTTAATCCATTTGCGATCTTTTAAGATTATCTAGTACGAAGCTTGTGGTATCTCTTAAAATTAGGAAGTTTGCGACGAGGAAATGAACTTACAATTTATATAACGCTTTCTGAGTTTTTCGGTATTTCCACTMTTTATTTCTTTTATGATTCAGAGTAAAATGCCTTCACTCGCGGACTCATCATGTACATTAATTTACTGACGAAATATGGCACGGCTCTTGCTCCAATCAGAACAGCCKGAGCGCGCCAGTCCGGAGTCTTGAAACGAAAATAACAGACTTTTCAATKAATAGTTTGCGTACATATGGTTATTTTCGAAAGTAACCGTGTTTATGGACAGTGGACGGTGTTTACGGGTAAACGCTGGATGTATCTCAGGCTAGTTAATAYCCGATGTTCGTATGGACAGCTTCATTAAAGCCATTTCCTCTATTGATGTTTCAGGTGGGTTTCCATCACCTTTGGGATTATGAGATGTACGAATGGGCAGTAGGGGATGGTGATGAGTATGGTGAGAATGGCTGTGCTGTACTTTTTGATTGTCTACCCGAGGAAGCTGGTCACTATGTAATGGCTTACTATAGTTACAAAATGGAGGCTATTATCTCTGTCTCTGAACCATTCGAGGTAATTTGYACATTTATTTAAAATCTTATAGACGGGCAATGTTATAGAGTGACGTCAAAAACCTTTGAAATAGGTATTACTGTAATACTRTAGTGTAACAATATAGTAATATAGAAACTTATCAAGAAAAAAWTGCTCGTGTAAACGCCTCTTAAGASGACATGCACACTGGGCTGACACCATTACGTCTCGCGCACGCAATCAATTGAAAGAAAAGAACGATTTTTGCTAATTTTTAAAATAAAAACGTGGTAAAAAACAAAATGCAAACAAATGCTCTTATTGACACAATCCTGACGTCATAAAATGTTCAAAACTCAAATGGAACCACGAGCGCAGCGAAAAAACTGTGCGCAATTTGTTAAATCTATTGTTTCAATCTTTTATTCAACAAATGCGAATTAAATAGTCATTTTCATTGCACACAATGGATACAAAARCTGTTGTCACGAATGTTACTATCTYKTCCTGTTTCTTTAACCCCCGRATATGAAATCCAACATGGCTGACATTGATTTATGTATTCCTAGATTTTGCCTCCACGAGATGAAGAYAAAGACCCTGTAGATGTACAAGTTGAGCAGCCACAACAAGAGGTTTAAGTCAAAGAAAACARCGTTAATCGAGATGAGACGGTAAAACCAGTGGTAAAACCTTTTAGTAATATGTCGAATCGACGGCCAAGACGCACATAAAAGTAACTGCAGTTTTGTAATTTTTGATATTATTTTCTGATGTACTTAGATGCTCTAAGCTATATTTACTACACCCAATAGAAATTCTATCGCAAAGGACATCACATATATTATTGGTGGTAAAAGATCTAAATACAACACAATTTTCGCCATTTTGTGATCTATTTGGTTCTTTTTTTAACTGCTAATCTAGTTGATACTTTAAAGTTCTTTAAAGGACATAMGATTGCTAAGATATAATAACTAAATAGAAGCTTATACTGGTATTAGAAATAGATGAGAACAAGAAATAATAAGAGGAAGAAAAACGATGCTTTTGACTGGGCTAAGCTTGGGCTAGTATCAGTGAGTTGTCGATCGTGCTACGATCCCAGCTGATCATAGCGTGGTCTTCCACGCAGCTGATATAATTCGTCATGTAGTAACGGCTTCTTGCTCTAAAGAAACACTCCTTTCTTTTAACCAAATAAARTAGTGCTATTAAATTTTTGAGAATATGACAAGTTTTAAACATATATTACATGGTCAATTGGAGTTATGAATTTTATCTTCGAATGTTGAAATTTTAGTTCCTATTTGTTTTGTTATATTTGGATACAGGAACCAAACACATTTTCTTTTTTTAACACTCGAAGATAAAATCCGTATCACCGTGCGCCCATGTAATATCCTCTATATCAAACTGTGCGCGTTAGTCGTASRAAATCKTTTGTYTWTTGTTGTACAATTCGTGCATTTAGTACCACTGCTACAACCAGCTGTTTCATGACAATAGTGAATGCACTCTAAAGGTGTACAAGGTGTATAAATTTGTTATTTAGTATTTTTGGCTTTATTATATTTGGATACWGGAACCAAACGCATGTACTTTTTTTTCATTGTCATTATTTCCTGATTTAAATAATTTTTACATCATGAATCTGTTACTTCAWTTGTTTTAAATGGATTTGTTGAGGACCTCAGCAGTAGCATCCATCCWCCAGCTGATYATGAAAACCTTAATAGGTAACTTCAATTTTAAAATATGCTTTTCGCGACAACAGGAGCTTTACACGTTTGTTCTCCACAAAGCTGTATTACTACTCTTTATGAGTACATTGCCTGCATCCCGTGAAAATTTGTTTTGGGGGGGAAACGATAATTAAGTATTAGGTAATATATGCTATTGTATTATCCCGAATAAGTATTCTTTAATACTTTATTTATTCAGCAATTGATATAACGTTTGATTAATGGCTAGAATAATCAAACAAAGTTAGACTACTTTAAGTAAAGTGACAGTGAACTAACAATGCAGCATTATCCAATCGCATCCCAGCGTTCTAACGATTTGCAATACCGCACAGTTACTGRACCTGGTCTGCACAATTTTTGTGTAACGATTACGGTTACAGTACAGTACCGTCCGTTTCCCACTCATACGAAATTGACTCTATGCATATTAAGGCATAGCATTGCTAATATTGCTACAGGGTAAATCTTTTGTCTGGCAGYGATTTCTTTTTACCGTGCTCAAAAGTCGTCTATTTCAAACTAACTTTATTTGTGACGCTAGCAAATGAGAAAAAATATTAAGAAATAGTTTTATGTAAATACATTCTCCTACCCAGTTCCTTCTTAGCTTTCTAACGGCAAACGGAAGGGAAGCTGAGAAGGATTTCGGTACGAGAATGATGTAAATATGCCTAGTCTATATCTACACAGCATCCTCGCGGTTTGTTTCGATGTACCATCGATTCTAACCTAGCTACCGGAATTATAATTTAGAGCCAATTGCCCTAATAGCATAATGACGTCACAACATTGGGAGTACTGGGAGTATTGGGAGTTACAGTGGGAGTACTGCTGACCTTCTAATATTCTCTTTCCCAATTTTATCTAGGTTTGATATACACCTATTTCAAAAACCTCGAGGAGAACGGCAAATGGCGGCATGGCGAGTGTGCATTTTCTTGATATGAAGTCATTCTCCCCCCCCCCCCCCCCCCCTCCTTCGGCGACCATAAGGCATAGCGAATGTTTTTGTGACGTAATAATGCGTTAGGGCAGTTCTGGCCAATATATACAATTAATAAAACAAGTTATTGGGTGATTATCCATCGATATGCCACACATTTTGGTTGTGTAATCATCATTCAGAAATTATTTCTCTTCTATAACTTTTTCTAGAACACGTTGTGTATATAATTGAGAACTATTATGCGATAACTTTGGGTTAGTAAAAGCAATATTAGTATACTATTAGATAGTTAGTTCAGCTCTGGATAAAATATATGAATGTATAATGGAATCAAATTAATATTATGTACTATAGTATACAGGAATAAATTAAAGGCTAATGATTAATAATAAAAGCGAATCATATATATGTTTTTTTAAATTTTTAAACGTAACGCAGACAAATTTTATAAAAGAACTATAAAACGGCCGCTTGTGTCTCTGTCCTCTAATAAGCACTCGAGAAGCAAGAGAAACACTCGCTACGCTCGTGTTTCTAAGCTTGTTTCTCTCGTGTTTTCAGCTCCCATGCCGTGTTTATATATTCGCACGCCGTTTTATATTTCTTAAATATGTATACAGGTATATTTCAGAAAGC